GCCAAGAATCAAATCAATGATTTGGAACACAAGGAAGGAAAAATCAAAACAGCAGGAAGGAAAAAGAATTTTAAAAAATGAGAATAGACTTGGGAATCTCTGGGATATATTTAAACGTATCAACAAATGAATCATAGGGGTGCCAGAAGGAGAAGAGGAAGAGTATAAAATTTGAAATCTATTTGTAAAAGTAATGAAAAATAATTCCCTAATTTGATGAAGGAAGTAGACATACAAATCCAGGAAGCACAGTGAGTCCCAAACAAGAGGGACCCAAAGAGGACCACACTAAGACACATCATAATTAAAATGCCAAAGGTTAAAGAAAAAGAGAGAATGTTAAAAGCAGCAAGAGAAAAGCAGTTAGTTACCTACAAAGTTCCCATCAAACTGTGAGCTGATTTCTCTAAAGAAACTTTTCAGGCTAGAAGGGAGTGGCAAGAAGTATTCAAAGTGATGAAAAGCAAGAATCTATAACCTAGATTACTCTATCCAGCAAAGCTATCATTTAGAATTGAAAGGCAGGTAAAGAGCTTCCTGGACAAGTTAAACCTAAAGGAATTCATCATCACCAAGCCATAATTATATGAAATACTAAAGGAAATTATATAAGAAAAAGAAGAATATCAAAACAATGAACATTAAAAAGGCAATAGATTCATGACTATCAATAATTGAATCCAAATAACAAACTAAGCAAACAAATAGAACAGGAACAGAATCATGGATAGGGAGACCATTTGCTGTGTTATCAGTTGGGAGGGGAAGGGGGAATGTGAAGGGAAGGGTACAGGGATTAGGAAGTGCAAATTGGTTGGTGCAGGGTAGACAGGGGGTTGCTGAGAGCAGTTTGGGTAGTGGGGTAGCCAAAGAACTTACATGTACAGCCATGGACATGAACTGGGGGTGATTGCTGGAGGGAAGAGGGGTGCTAGGTGGAAGCAGGCAATGAGGGAAAGATTGGGACAACTGTAATAGCATAATCAAGAAAATATATTTTTTAAAAATAAAAGCATTTTTGTTCATTATCTTTATCATTTTCTTACTTCACTGTACTTTCCAGTATAGAAAACACTTTCTAGTTTTATCTAAGTCATAAGAACAGGCTTATTTATGCATAAACTGCCCAGGTTAATTTTTGAAGACAACATTTTTCAATGCAAACATACAGAAGCATTTAATAAAATTTTAATGCTTACCAAAATAGTGTAAAAGTTTGGAGCTTAGACAAGATCAATAAAATATTCAAGTATTTTACTGAATAAATACAGGGCTTAGAGGGATCTTTAGACTCCTCTACCATTTCAAATCGTAATTGTAAATTTGGCACAAAAGGGTTTTTAAAAAGATTTTATTCTATTTTCTATGAGTACATTCCTGAGAAAAAGTGCTAGAATATTTGCCAGTGACTTGGACCTGGGTTTTATGACTTGGCAGAAGGTCCTAGAGGATTTCAGCACTGAGCTGAGTAGCCCTGGAATGCTTGGGGATGCCGAGCACACCTGGGTGGGGAGGCTCTGCCAGCACCAGAAGGCAGGACGAGCTGTGCCCTGTTGGAAGGACCAGCTACAGGACTGTCTGACTTTGTAAGGGTAGGGTGAAATGTTAGCTCTGTTCTTAAGCCATGAGACAGATGGCTCTCTCACTGGAGCCGAGTGACCACCTTCACATCTCTTGGCATCTCTCAGTGGCCACTTTCAACATGAGCTAACACATACGGCACCAGCAGGTCTGCACAGATAATGTGGGTTCACCTCCCTTTCCTCAGAGCCACCTGACCAGACTTTTACATTTCCAGTCAGTCAGTTAACAAACGTATATGGTGCTTTTACCATGTGCGAGACTGACAGCTAGAGAGATGCAAAGTAAATGGAAAGATCAGAGAGGGGTGGGGAATAGGTAACCAGGAGTATGGGAAGAGACCAAAATACTCAAGAGCTCTCAACGATGGAGTCTATAAATCTTTAGAAGGAAGAGCAGAGCTGAAGAAATCTAGACCCCTCCCGCTATCCCAGGGCTTACCCTACCCCATTCCCACCCTCACCAGAGTACATGAGACTCCAAAAAGGGGTGAAAGAAGCAAACAAAGGTAATAAAGGAGCAATTGTGGGGCAGCTCTGGGGAGGCCAAGCAGAACAAAATCATCTGTGGCAGAAAGTGGCAGCATGCTGCCATTATCTAGTTTGCAGATGGACTGCCCATAGAATCTGGGAGTAATTAAGATGGAGAGAAACAAATGGGGGGCTGCTGAGGATGATGGGAGGGATGGAGTCCCCAAACCATCTTTCACTAGGAACTCAAAAGTGAGACAAGACCCTGGAACCAGAGGAAAAGGAAACCGTCATAACCAAGTGGGGATGTGCACACTCACATTCACACCCACACTCACTTCAGCAAGGGAGCGATGAAATTTACAAAGTGCCCGGGAAACAGATGTTAAAATCAACATAGAAGGTAGGACACCACATTTAAACTCCACTTATTGGCCCTGGCCCAGTAGCTCCGTTGGTTAGAGCACTGGCCAGATATACCAGTGTTGCGGGTTTGATCTCTGGTCAGGGCTCATACATACAAGAATCAACCAATAGATATATAAACAAGTAGAACAACAAATCAGTGTTTCTTTCCCTGTCCCTCTCAAAAATTAATCAATAAAAAATACAAACTCCAATTATCTTCTAATATCTATTTGAACATTTAAAAATGAATTCTGAACAGGAGAAGTGAATTTTACAAATTGTGTTTTTTTTTTTAATCAACAACAAGATGGGCTCACACTCTTTTTCAAGGCGTCAGTCCACCACTCCCGTCAAAAAACATGACTTTTCTGCCAGCCTGAAGGCTAGTCTTCGTTCCAGCCATGGGTCAGGCAATATGCTGTCTTGTCCGTAGTGTTCATGAACCCTAAACCTCTCCCCTCAAAAGGTTAGTCATCTTCTTTAACTGATAACTATAATAGCTATTCATGTATTATATGAATATCTTGCTCAAGGTCATGTGGCCAGTCAGTGGCTGAGCCAGAATTCAAACACAGACTCCAGAGCTCTGTGAGATGCCCGTGAGCCTCCAAACTGAGTGGGGTTTGCTCCCTGCACACAATCTGACTTGTGCCCTCTGCTGGAAACACACTTTCATCATTTTTGTCTTTTCACGTTCTTCCTATTCTCAAAGCTCTGTTTTCCATCCTGTCTCCCACAAGAAATCTTTCTTGATTTCTTAGGCCAGATGACCTCCCGGATTGCTGCCCATTCTGAAGGCCTGCGTGCTACCGACCTCACGTCCAGGCTGCCCCACGTCAGACCAGCCATGTCAAAGTGCATTTTCATACCACACTCTGTGTGATGTTTTCCTGTCCAATGCTGAGAAGGAGTTTTAGAATTTTGCTTTAAAACTCTCATTTTACTTAGAATTACTTATGGCCTCTCAACAACCCTGTGCATACCTGAGAATCCTTGAGATAAGAAAGCTTGTAAGTTTTTTTCAAATAATGACAAAACTTACCGTGATTATTAAGCTTAACAGTAATTAAGACTGATAAGTATCTTTTTAAGTTTTAAACATTTGTTCATTTCAATTTTCACAGGCCTTCCCTTATATTTAGAGCCTACAAATATGTTTCTTTTCATATCTCAAAGAATTACGTAGGTCCTCGAAAATCTAGCAGGTGCTAAGCACCGTGCCTAAAGTATTGAAGGGGCAGAGCAGCCCTGCTCATGCCTGAGCCACGTGCCGTCTTGCGTGGTGGTTGCCGAGAAAACTGCTTGAAGTGTGGCTCTGCCTGGCTGTCAAGGTCATAAGCTTACTGAAGACAGTGACATTTCTGTGTCATTGACAGTGACTTTTTTGGAGTCACTGGCACAGTTGCCATACAATGAATACTATGGACTCACTTATTAAAAAACACCAGTCCTAGATAAACACAAAAACTACAACTTTGACTGACTATATATTCTATAATACCATTCCTAAAATAGTGACAGTTATTGGAAATTATGCTCCTTATACTTTTCAAAATGGGTTCTCTTTCCTTTGAAAAAATGTTTTGTCTTCATTGCTTTGAAAGATGGTACAAATAAATGGACTGTAAATAAAATGTATAGTGGAAATCTCTAGAAGCATGGGTTTTTTTCCCCACTGGCAGTTAATTACACATTTCCTTCTAAACATTTATTTGCACAAGCGGTGCACTCATGATTTTCCAGACATTACATGTCTCTAATACAGTTGTGCCTCGTTATTACACTGCAAATTGTTCTCGAGTCCAGGTAAATTTCCTTTAGCAGTATTTGGATTTTAACTAAATTCAATCTAATAACATTTAACATGAAATTAAATAGAAACTACTCACATGCTCAACTGTTAGGTGTGGGGAAGAGAAGGCTGATGTACTACGAGAAGTAAGGACAGGGACCAATAGCATCTGTCTCCATGAACCAGCCAGTAAGACAACATAACACTTTCTCAACACCAGTAGAAAATAATAATTCATTAAAAACAAAACAAAACCCCAGGCATGCATGAAGTGAAGTGTAAGAAGATTTGTATGGATCATATGCATTTACATGAACAGCATGCAAAGTTTCATGGTAGATGCTCATCCTTTAGTATAACAATTGGGCCGATATCCAAAGGCCTAGCTATTAAATACTCTTTGGTAGTGCTGCTAACACTGAATATTTTCCATCTTAAGATAATATTGCTACTACTTGTAGTATTTTCTGCAGCTGGGTTGTTTTGCTCATGTCCAGACCTAGTGAGAACCCCAGTTTAGCCTGAGGTCAGACCTAGTGAGCCAGAACATCAGATTCCATGTTGCTGCCGAGAGAATGTGACTTAAATCTGAGTGTGACTACACTCTAAGAGAATAACCAAAATGCTGGAAACTGAGCACCCACGCTCACATTGAAAACTGAGAGGAGAGAAGGAAACACGGGAAGGAGCAGCAGGGAAAAGGGCTGGGAGAACGTGTGTTCCTCAGACGGCTGGAGGGAGGAGCCCACCTCTTCCCGTTACTGTCCCGAAGCACCGTTTTCCCCATCTTCGTTTCCAGCTCCTGCACCTCCTCCAGCAGTGTCTTCTTGCAGGTGTGCTTGGCCCTGTGCCACAAGGAGAAGACAGTAAGAACATCACACGCGGAATTTACACAGCTGTGAAGACTGGGTGTCCTCCTCCTGGGCCACATCCGGATGCCCTTTGACTGACTGATGCTGAGGCTTAGGGCATCATGGGGCACTCGCAGCCCCCATGCATGGCCAGGGCTCCACCTGGGGAGCACCCCAAATCCTGTAGAACATCAGGAGTCATCCACCTAAGACTACTGTTTTGTGTTTTTTTTTGCTGAAAGCCTAAAGATCAGTCTGAGGACCCCGACCATTCAGAGAAAACACTGGGTTTCCTGGACACTCATGGGTCTATCTCTAAAGCTTTTCTAACAACTCAGAAGATGCTCTAAATCCCTACCCTAGTGGATGTGTGCCAGTCCCGTGGCCCTGTCCTCTACTGTGATCAGAAAGGTTGGGGTGAGCAGCTTCTTCTCTCTCTCTTTAGAGTGAAAAGAGCCACTGCTGCAACAGGAATGGCATTTATAATGCTGGCATTCATGCTTTTCATGCCAAACCCTTGACCTGAAGCTTGGGGTCAACACAAGTCCCCAGGCACAGCTTCTCTCGTGCAGCCTTGCCAGGACAACCCAGGCTGTATGCCTTGATGGCAACGGCACCTGGTGGCAAGCTGGCCTCTCCAACCTCAGCCTCGACACATCACTCTTGAACTGTGCCTGTACGGGAAGAACTGCCTGTACCCTCTTTCTGATTAAACTGATGTTTAAGTAAGTGGCTCATTTCAGGATCTTCCTAAGATCGAGACTAAACAGAAAGCTACTGGTTGGAAACAAAGGTGAAGAAAAGGCATTTAACTAGAGGCATATAAGTTAGAAATGGCGAGGGGAGAAGCCGTAGAAAGAAAAATACTCATGACTTAGCAATATAGCAATATAGGGAGGGCTTAATACAGGGTGGGGCAAAAGTAGGTTTACAGATGATCATATGGAAAATAGTATAATAATAAATAAAAATATAAGAATCAACTCTGTGTTTTGCATACTCACAACTGTAAACCTACTTTTGCAACACCCTGTATTATGAAAAGGTTTTCATTAGTTTCAGTATAAATGAGTATGAGGATCCTACTGCACACCAGTGCTTAAAGACAGAATAAGGACAAAGACAGAGCCCCTATCTGTGAGGACGTGAAAACAGTGTAATGGGGACTTTCTGAAGACATGAGCTGTTTCAGTGGAATCACATAGTCCCGCCCACCCTCCACCCTCAAGGAAAGTCTGTTAAGATAATGCCCAGTCATCTGCTAACACTCCGACTTAATCTCTAATGGAGTATCAGTACTAAGACACTGTATATGTGCCTGTCACTCCTTTTCCCCAAAGTAAACAAGAGAACTAAACCACACAGGTTTTAACACATAATACCTTAATAACATCAAGTAGTATCCTGAGACTCAGTAGTGATAAAATACTACAGTTTAAAGCAGAGACTGAGGAATTTTAATCTAAACTATAAGTGAGAAAATGTTTAGCATTTTGCTGGGAAGAAGGCAGTCAAAAAGAACATTAAAATTTGCACCGTTCAATATTATTGAATATGCTGTGCCTCAAACTTTCTCTTTTATCTCATGGGCTTCTGAGGCTGTAATGATAACAGCCTCCACCGCACTTGGATTCACCCGACACGCAGGCCCCATGAGAACGTGTCTGGTCTACGCTGAAGGATGTGCATGCTCTCTCACTGTTTCACCATCCTCCCTTCCTCCCTCCCTTGTGCCCCACACAGAGCAAGCAGGGTTCACAACCTCTAGACCAGCCCTCAACCCCCATCTTCTGGGTGGGGAGAGAAGGGCATCTCTAAGAAGCAGGCTTGGAATGGGAAGGCTGGGCCACTAGGCCTAGGACACTGGATAGCAGTAGCTTAGGCCAAGAACAAAAGGAATCTGTTCTATGGCATTGAAGCCGCCACTTTTCACATTCACAAAATCACCTCACAGGGCAATGACCTAAATATATCTGGATGCTGCCAGGCACCGCGCAGGTTCTCGGTGGAGGTAGCTGCATCCATGTCAAAGAGTCACTCTGTAATTCCCAGCACATCCAGCACTGACCCCTGAGAGCCAGCCTGGGAACCCAGCCAGTGAGTTCGATCTGCTACTGGGGACGATCTTCTACTCTCCACATGCAGCACTGGAGAAGCGGTGCTAGCAATTTAAAACTGTTCTCTCAAGAACGTCTACTTCATAAGGCCTTCATTAGGTAAATGATTCTAAAATCTCCCCTGTCAAAGTCTACATGTGAATTGACTAAAACCTAGTAAGTGAAGGTTTAAAAAGCCAGTCTTTAAGTATCAGCCACTGGTGTATAATTTAGGTCTCATCAGGAGCTGGAGTTTGGCTTTTTGTGAGTCACAGCCTGGACAAAGTGAACTCCATTATCTTTGAAGGGCTTATCCCCAGTGGTCCAGGACTTGCTTCATCTAACCCCACATCAAGAGACCAGATGATCACAAAAGGGGCGGGGTGGGGTGCTCAGCCGCTGTCAGAGGGTGTGACATTCATTCGCCTGCCTGTGAGCCTTCAAATAGCGCTAATGGTATCTCCAGGTTATTAGGGGATTTTAAAATAAATAGATTGGCTTAGAATCTTGACCTTTTCATTTCTTTGTTTCTGAAACTTTTTCCTGGACTCTTTCTTTTACATGGAAGGATGTAGAAAGCTAAAAGGAAATGTTAAATTCCAAATGTGGATGAAAATGTGCACACAATGTGCTTCAAAAGAAATTAGTGTAGCTAGAAAGTTTTTTTAAAAAAATCAAGGCCCATTTGTATACAGAAATTTCTTATTACCTTTTATTTCCACTTAACTGCCTACTGGGATTATAATAAGGAAATGAGGTCATTCTGGAATTGCTGAATGTATTGTGTGCTGATTGGTAGACTACAGGAGATACAATCTAGATAAAAGGGACTCATTCCCAAGTTCAGTGGCCTTGAGCTTTATATTATTTTTCTAAAGCAATACTGACAAATTTCTCCTAGATGAGAATAAGTACATGGCAGTTCACTAAGAATGCTGTCATAGGTAAACATTTTGGAAGAGTGTAAGCTAAAGGATATTAAAATAGTTCTGGGCAATTTAACTTCATGCTTCTAATAAAAATACTCATTAGCCAGGTATCACATATAATCAATCAATTATTTTAATAAAAGATATATTAGTTTGGTCCCTCATGAAAATTCTGGTTAGTGGGATAACAGAGTAGGTATTTTATGGCATAAATCCGACTTAAGATAGTCTAGTAATGGGTCTTCATCCAGCAAGTTGACAGACTTCATGGAAAAAATGACCAAATAACCTCATGCTGCTTTTTTCTTACTCTGAACACTCCAAGTCCCAAAATGGAAGAGAGCCTGGGGCAAAAGAGGGGGAAATGCAGGAAGATAGAACCCACTTTCTTAAGCATTCATGAAAGTATGGGAACAAGCAGGGCGGCCTTGTGCTGGAATTCAAAAGCTCTTTAGAAATAGCTGACCACCAAAATTCAAAGCAAAACAAGAAACACGAGATTGGTCCGAGGCAAGACGGAAGAACTGTAACAAAACTGCTGGGCTCCCACTGGCCGTCCGCTGCTGGCACAGCACGTGCTCTGTGACTGCACCTTCATTCTCATCCACTTAGTGCTGAATTCTCCCTCAAATTCAAGGTGTATCCCAGCACGTCATGTTTCAGTAAATATCTGACAATTTGAACCAAACGATGGGTGGACCTGGACATGCAGGATTAACACTTGAGGTCAGTGGGCAGAAAGGAAAAACAGGGTATGTTTTATAAAGCTGAGGTTCAGAAAGACAGCACAGAGGTTGGAGCTGTGGCCTCATCAGAGGCATGCAGCACATACTACTCTTTCTCTTCCTGGGAGAAGCCTCTGAATTTACTTGACTCAACAATAAATATCTCAGTCTGGGAATATAGTATGAACTAAAACCTAGGCCTTGTGGTCAGAGGAAAATGCTCAAATAAACTTGCAAAATGACTTTTTGAGGAGAGAGGTAGTTTCGACATTAAACATATATTAAAAACTTGGCATATACTTTGGGTCACTACTCCAGGGGGGAACCAAAACATGCTGTCCTCCCCATTTCCCCAACGGAGGAAAATTGAGACACAATGCATTTCAGGGAATGCCTCTGGAAGTCAGTAGGGGCCTCCAAACTCAGCCCAAAGCACAGGTGCTGTGGCTCCTGGTTAGAGCTGCTTCCGGCCTGTGGTGCCCTGGGGCAGGTAGGACTCCCCTCTTGGTCAGTCTCTGATCATCCTTCCCAGTCCCTCACCCTGTCCCAACCACAGCCTTCTTTACAGAGTTCCTATCCTGCTGGCAAGTTTCTGGGAAAGAAAGTGACTTTTTTTTACTATGTCCATATGGTGGAGCTGGATGCAGACTCATTTAATTTATCCTCTTTAACATGTAAATGATGCTAATTTGACAGTGCCAGGAGTCAGGAATAGGTAATATTTCTGCTTGAAGGAATAGATAATTTGCTTCCCCGTGAGGAGGAACTTTTACTTGGAATGTATTGGAAGAGATCCAGAAAATAGACAAAGAGGCAGAGACACTGTAATTTGAAAACATTCTCTTTGAAATGGTAGAAAGAGACTTCTGCTAAAGTCTCACTTGGCAAATATACTATCTCAATTAAAAATTTTAATTTCATGACATTCATTTAAGGTAGTTGAATAAACTAGCCTGAGATTAATTTATAGTCAAATCACTGTTGTCAATCACTATAGATTGAAAAGTCATCTGATGTAGCCAGGCCCTAAAACTACCTTGATTATCTTGCAAAACTGATGAAATTCGGCAAGGTAATGTATTGTTCCACAACTGAGCTATGTGCTACAGTAGACTTTACGTTTTCTTTTGTGCACTGGTTAGATTAAGAAAACATCTTTTCTGACTGTAATTCATTTCCAAAGATTCTGATTCTGCTATTTATAGAACATACTTTCAGCAGATAAAATAAATGAGTACAGTGTGGTAAATCAGAGCATTTAAGAAATTTGGAATTATTTAATTTTTACTAACAGTTGTAAAACTTCATGAACAGAAGAAAAAACCATTAAAATCTGTGCTATAAAATGGCCTCTCCCCCTCTCCATGTCTGCATTAGGTGCCGTCTGTTGTCAGGACCATGCTGAAATGAAGGCTCTTTGAAAACACATCCTTAACTGTCAGGCAAGAACATTCTCATTGAGTGTGGGAGGAAGGGAGAGACAGAAATGAAATCTGATGTCTTTTCCTAGAAGGTTTGGATTAAAATCTCGATTCTCTATCTCAGGGCCCCCAAATAAGTATGCTTTGCCCAAAGTAAATGCAATGCAAGGGTCTCAATTTTCAAGGAGATTGGCAACTATTTGTAGGAGGGACCAGGCCTACCAACACAAAAATCAATGTGATCTCATTTGCAGCATTCCATCGTTTGCTTATGGATGAAGTAAAAATTTATATACCTTGTTGCTTCTTTCACATTTTATACAAGAAATAATTTCAGAAATATTTCAGAAATAATATATATTAAAACATAGAAACAAAATTTAAGTATGAATTATTTCCTACTTAACCTAAATTATAATTTCATCTTTGTGGTTAATTTTCTGATAGACCTGTAAATGGACATTTCACAAGAATTATATTTGAAGGATTCCTATGGTGAATTATTTGGAAAAATGAAGAATACTTCATTCCAAGTATTTTGCAGTTTGAAATGGGTTTCACAGACACAATTTTCCTTAAAGCCAGATTATATTTGTGATCACTTAGCATTGATTTTAGATATAAGGAAGAATTAATTTTGAGTCATATTTCCTAAGCCTGATGGAATGGGTCTATATTTAGAAATATTCCCTTAGAAAGACGTACAAGGAGATGTACTGTGTTGCCTTCACACAGTCTCTGTTGGGACTCCACCTTTTTTTGTCTATGTTCTCATATCAAGGTGAAGCACAGGTTAAAAGGAAAAAAAACAAACACAATATTCTTCATATCCTTCACTGGCAGGTGGCAGGAGACCAGAAGTCACATAGCATTTCATATCCTGTGACAGGACTCGTGAAGGACAATTGCGGGGACAGATGAGCAAGACTTAGTGCTACTACTTCGCTTTTCACTTACGCTCTCCAAGCCACATCTTCGATCAGACATGCAGTAGGTACCAGAAATAATCCCAACCAGAAGTGTGCAGAGCTCAGGACCATCGCTGCCTGCAAGAAGCAAAAGGGACGGGGATATTAATACTTTGTCTTTCCAAAACAGCAGGAAATAATTTAATCAAGGTAAAACATTCCATGACACAAAAACAGAAAGTACTACATTCAGGGAAAGGTAAACATCCATGTAGGAAGAATGTCAGAGAGCCTGACAGGCTGAGTTCTTTCCTATGATCATCGGCCTTGTCTCCCTTCTTTTATTTTGACAAGTGTTGTCTCTCTCTTTTATGAAGTGCTCAAAGCCCTCTTCCAATTGGAACACTGTCCTAAATCCCTCCTAGGAGAAATGGGGCTACCATACTCCTATGGAATAAACTTAAAAAAAAATCCTCACCCAAGGATATGTTTATTGATTTTAGGGAGAGAGGAATGGGGAAGGAGGGAGAAGGGAGAGAGGAACGGAGAAAGGGAGGGGAACAAAGAGAGGGGAGGGGGAAGGCAGGAGGAGGAGGGGAGAGAGAGAGAGAGAGAGAGAATAACAGACATCCACTTGAGAGAACATTATTAGTTGCCTTCTGTATGCACCCCAGTTGGGGATTGAACCTACAATATTTTGGTGTATGGGATAATGCTCTAACCAAGTGAGCCACCCAGCCAGGGCTAAAGTAAACTTTTATCCAGCATTTTCCTTTCATCTATTTCACTTATCCATCAGATCATGTTCCTTCAGTGTTCGTTTGTTCATTCATGGAATCGGTATCTCAGAATAAAGCACAATGATTCTCAACATTCAGAAGAGGAGGATGAACAGATCATAAGTTTTGCCTTCAATGAATTTAAAGTCATGTGGTACAAATACACACACAATTATGTGGTGCCATTTACATCACACAGTGGGATGTATGCATCATGATCATCATGGGGCTTCAGAGGAAGGCCAGAAGGCTAGAAGGGGGAGAAGACTTCTTAAAGAAGACAGAATATGGGATGTGCCCGGAAAGATACAGGATTGGACCAGATAGAGAAGGACAGAGGGAGAGGAAGTCCGAGAGGAAGGGTGGACGATGGGAGAACAGCCAGGCCTGCTGCCTTTGATGACATTGTTCCTGGCATGCTGAGTTAGAAATTGTTTGGGAGCGAACAGAGCGGGTTGGAGGGAAAAGAGTTGCAGGGCTGAATCCTCTGTCAGTGAAGTGAGGAGCTAAAAACAGCACTTAGAGCAAATGGGGACTGGGAGTAGAGTCCTTAGATTTTGGTTTTCAAGTGAGCCAGGTCAGGCCATTGACAATCCGGCTTCAAAGGATGGGCTGCTTGGAAAAGGGACCCAGGACAGACCCTTCCTATTCATCGGTTCTTCTTGTCTGGAGTTCTCACCACTTGATTCTAGAATCAATAGATATTTTGCTGTAACTCATTGCAAAGTGGACTGAGGCTTTACAAGTGAGAGAAAGTGGGGGAGCTACGACACAATTCATGTCAGGGACTCTAGCAGGGAAAGTGTGTGGGGCTGAGAATCAAGAAGGCCCCTACTTCATGCTGCACAGAGGGTGGGGTTCCCCCTGGCCCTAGCGTGGCACCCAAACTTCAACTCACTCTTTAATTTCAATGTTCTACTCCAGCCTGGTGGCCACACTCACACCCAGACCCTCGTGACTCCATCCAACTCCGTCTGAGAAAGCTTCTGTCTCAGTGCCTGCCCTCACAGGTTATCCGTCTGTGCACCCTAATCCTGAGCAGTCTCAGCAAAGCCCACTCCTGACCATGCCTGCCTGGCTCCCGAACTCCACACAAAGCCCTGTCCGTGCTGCTGGGAAGTTATGACAACAAAACAGAAGCAGTGAGGCAGGGGTAATGCTGCACTCCAGCCCCGCCTGGAGGACTCGCTTTCCTTTCTAAATACAAGAGCGTTCCCTTTTTGAAAGAACAATTCAAAAACCTACAAATAGGCAGGTGTATTTTGCCCCATCAATCATAGCTCTCAACATTCATCCTAAGGAAATAAGTAAGGAAATATGTAAAGAAGCAAGTACAAGAATATTCACATGGTGCTGGACTATGAAGAAAGTGAGAGATAAATGTCCAAGAGAAGGATTTAATATGCTGTGGCCCATCCAATGGACTGCTCTACAGCGGTGAGAGTAATACAGAGTTACATTTGATGGCACTGATGTCATGCTACATGGCTAATGAAAATCTGGATTCTGAGACAACCTCTCATAGGAGCCCTACCATGGAAATGGGTGCGTGGTAAAGAAGATGATGGGCCCCAGCCTCAAAAATACACTTAAGATGCTATCTTCCAAAGCAGCTACCCCCAAGTCATGGCCTCTTTGCATGATATATATATATATCATGTGTGTGTGTGTTAATACACATTGATATACTACATAGTTTTTGTAGTCCTGTTTTGGTGTTTCCTCAACTTTAAAAAGCACATTTCAGGATGTCAAAAACAGTGGGCGGCCCAGGCTTCAGTGGGCCTGAGACTACCAACTGCTCTGGGTGTGCCTGCGTGCTCGGGAGAAAGGGCACTGGGTAGCAGAAGGACAATTGCCAGTTTTTATTTTCAGGGGTCTGTGGCTAGCTCTGCTTCTTCTTTGTTTGTGTTTTTCCTATAGAAAACATATATTACTTACATAAAAGAAAGTTAACCACCCTGCCTCCCTCCAAGCAACTTCAGGAAGGAGTTAGGTCAGCAGGCTCTAGCCTTCCGAGCGCACTCCTCTGGCCCCCCAGCCAGCAGGGCCCCCAGGGGCCTGCTGAGCAGACCCCTCGGGTTTTGCTCTCACCACAGATGCTTCCCTCGGGTGGTGCTTGGCCCATGGAAGACAGACTTGTTCAAGCCATGTTTATCAAAGAGTATGATCATCTAAAAATAATATTTTACTACCATAATGTAATATTTTAAATGTATTCTGAAACTTAGTAAGAACTTCTCACTGCTGAGGGAAATAAGGATATCAAACTTTGAACTGCCCTCCTAAATATAAATATGAAGTCCCTCCTAAATTAACAAGGGCAACTTAGAGCTATTAAAGCACTGCTGTTGTGTCGTTGGTTTGTAAAACCTGGAGCTGTGAAGACAGCGTGTGTATAACTAATTTTAAAGGTGTGTCTCCAGAAAGGTTTCTACCACCCTGATTTTCACAGATTGACTAAAATCCACATTGCTGAAGTCTTTGCTAAAGCCACAGCTTTAGTCATTCAAGTTCAGTTAAATTGTTCTTGTTTCTTAGCATAACAAAAAATGTTTATTGAGCTGAGCTAGGTGACAAATGGTTCTTAATTACTCTCCCCTCCCCCGCACATATACTATGGAGTGAGATTTTATAAACATCCTTTTGATGTACTAACAGTCCCATGGGGAAGAATGCACCCTTCAGTGAACAGTCTTCAGCTAGCAATGACTGTTAACCACTTAGGTACCAAATGCACAGGAACCCACTGGGTCATAGTGATCCTCAGTGTGCTGCTAATTCTCTCTCTCTCTCTCTCTCTCTCTCTCACACACACACACACACACACACACACACACACACACACACACAGTGCCTAGGCCCAGCCATCCATGAACGTGGAAAAGATTTTCCAAAGGAGGCTAGAGTAACCCAAGCTAGGGAAGGCCACTGTGTTCCAGGTGTGGGCAATTTTGAAAAGATATGACAGAGATGGAGAAGGCAATGGCTCATGTGTGAGGGGAAGGAAACAAAGATTCCTTTATACATCACTATGTGCCAAACTTCCCATAGAGTGTTTCATTTACTCTTTCATAGTGCTTGTTTTACAAAAGAAAAATGAACTCTGCAACTTCCCCCAAGGACCTGCAGGCAGAGAGTAGGGTTATCAGGATTCAAACCGAAGTTCAAACCCAAGCCCTCCTCCCTTCCATAAGCCTGAGGTGAGCGCTCCTTCCCCACCTGCCTCTCCAGGATGGAAGAGAAATCTCTAAGTTGAGACACAGCACAACACTCAAGGCACACATCTAACTTCAACTTAATACCAGAAAAACCAGGCACCAAATTCAAATTTTAAGTAGAAGAAAATTTGGAGAACTTGTAAAGTTACAAAAACAAAAAGAACCACAGGAAGAAAAATTTCCCTAATTCTTCCACTCCCACTGAGCAACAATAACAATAAAATAAAACTCAAACATAAAGATGGCTTCCTAAGAATACTTGTAACCCCTTTCCCTGAAGCAGGAAAGAAAATACCACAGCTCCATAAAGTCCTTAGTGAGACCACATTCACTTGCCATAGGAGGGAGGACGCAAGTTCAAGGTTGAAATCTGTTTCTTTATTTCCTGTGGCAATTCTCCTCTTCATCCCTCTCCCCTCCCATCCCCTCCAGACACAAAATGCCCATAGCCTGGTGCCAATTTTAATTTTTGATTTACTAAAACGGGGGAAAACATCTCAGTGCAATGCTTTGCAGCATCCTCTGAGGCACTCAGGTCAGAAGCCCTGTGTGAATGTGAATGAATTTGTAAACAAACAATCAAGTGACCCCAGAAACACCAGGCAAGCTTCTGACAACTCAAAAAACTAGCCAGCACACTAGATCCCAATGCTTTAACCACCAACCTAGTGGCACCTTAGGTCCACCGCACAAAGGAGGATTTGAACCTACAGCCTCCAACACAAAAATCTGCCTCCTCAGCCTCCCCCTGTTGTCTCCATCTGATGGTGGGAGAAATGAAGCAACCATCTAAAAACTCCTACAAATGCATTGCTATTAAAAACAAAAGATACAGCTAACACATTCTGTTTGACACGAATGTTTTTGTCAACAAAGCAGAGGTAGCTTTATCAGTGGACGTCACTATTTTGAACCCCTCGAATGTTAGTGCTGGTTTACTAACATAGTCGTGTGATAAAGGTTTCTTAAACCAGCCCTATGCTCTTAACAAGCATAGTTCCTCCCGCCAGCAAGAGGATAAGCCATGATCTTGGTGGTTATAATTTAAAGATAAGAGGTCCTTCGACGTCATTTCATTATAAAGTTGACCAGATGCAACAGGAGCTTCACTCTTGTTTATAACAATCAGCCTGTGGTC